TGTAGAATTCTATATGTACCAGTTTATATTTGTTAATTATATTGTTTGAATGTGATTTATACATGTTTAATAACTGCTTTGGTTTTATTCATTATTGGTAGAGACTATATTGAAAATTTCCCATTTTAATTATAGATTTGCTGTTATTGCTCAGCTGTTTAATCAAATACATGTACTAAGGGTATATTTTCATATTACTGTTAAGCCTTTTGTAATTATGCTGTTCTTTCTTTAAAATTTATCTCATATTAATACATATATCTGGAAAAATAACTACATGAGCTCTTCTTTGATTTTAATTTGCATGGTCTCTCTTGTTCTTTTTAATTAATTAATTAATTAATTTTAGAATTTTCCTTCCTCTGCTTTGGATTTATTTTATTCTTTTTCTAGTTGGAGGTGACAGCTTAAATTATAATGGAGATCTTTGCTTTTTTTTTTTCTTTCTTTTTTCTTTTTTTGGTCTCCTTAAGACAGGGTCTCCCTGTAGTCCCATCTGGCCTGGAACACACTATGTAGACCAGGCTGCCTTGAACTCACAGAGATCTGCCTGCCTCTGCCTCCCAAGTGCTGGGATTAAAAGTGTGTGCCACCACGCCTGGCCAGATCTTTACTCTTTTAATATGTCTTTTCCATTCTAAATTTCCCTCTTAGCACCACTTATATTGAACTAAATTTGGAGTAGTACATTTTCATTCACTTCTATGCATTTTATTTCCTTTGAGCCTTCATTTTTGAGCAGTGAATTATTACTTTATGATCCCAGGACACTGGCTTAGTGTATGTTCTGTGGGTTCTTGAAAAACTCACATATCCTATAATTTTTGAATGGGGTAGAAATGTAAATGAGAAAATGAGATCATGTTGGTGGTGGACCTCAATTCTTGTATAGCTTTTCTAATTGCCCCTGTACCTCATCCTGTCAAATGGTGGTGTAGAGGAGTTAAAATCCCCAACTATAATTATGGACTTGTTTGTTTCTCTATTCATCTCTGTCAGCTTTTGCTTCTGGTGGTGGTGTTTTTTATTTTTTCAATATTTATTTTTAAGTTTATTTTTATTTTAAGTATGATTGCTTTGCTTTATATATGTACATATATTCATATGTATACACACACACACACACACAAAACCTTGGGGGCATTTGTATCATTTGAGTATCTATTTACATGTGTATTATTTTTGTGACACACAGCTGTGTACACACACACACACACACACACACAATGTCTGTGAAGGCCAGAAGAGAAGGTGTTGAATCCCTTGGAATTGGAATTAAGCATGGTTTTTAGCTGTCATGCTAGGAACTGAACCTGAGTAAGAGCAGTCAGTACTTTATCTGCTGAGCCATCACTCCAGCCACAAGATTTACTTCTTATTTTATGTGTATGAGTGTTAGCTGCATGTATGTATGTGTACTCTGTGTTTTTTTGATGCCTGTAGAGGCCAGAAGAGAATGTAGATCCCTTGAACTGGAGTTAAAGTCATCATGTGGGTGCTGGGAACTGAACATGGGCCCCCTACAAGAGTAGCAAATGTTCTTAATCGCTCTCTCTAACCCCTACTTAGGGTATTAACCAATTAAACGTTATTAATTGGTCCATACATATTTAGGATTGTTATAGTTTAGCATATTGGGCATTTTATCATTATGTGATTACCTTCTGTGTTCTTAGTTTATCAGATAGCCATTTCTGCTTTTTAAAAAGTTATTTTCTAATTTTCTATACTGTATTTGAAGAATATATAGAATAGTTGAGGCATACTTTTTATTTATTCTATTAGGATTCTGTTGTGCCTTTTAATTTGAAGTTTAAGCAATGACTAGGTACCTATACTGAGTACCATAATAGTTGTTATAATTTTTATTTATTTATTTTATATGTATGAATATTATGCCTGTGTGTATGTAAGTCCACCCGTGTAGTGCAGTGGCTGCGGAGGACAAAAGAGGATGTCAGATCCCCTGGAAGTAAAGTTACAGACAATTGTTAGCTGCCATGTGAGTGCTAGGATTCAAACCCAGGCCTTCTGCAAGAACAGCCAGTGCTCTTAACTCCTGAGCAATCTCTCCAACCCAGTTATAATTTTTGCTTCAGACATCAGTTGCTGTTTAAGAATTGGTAGGGAATGTATTGTATTTACCCCTGATTTTAGTTTTCCATGACATATTAACCTTTATTTCCTCATGATCCTCCTCTCTACTAATCTCAGCCTCCCAGTAATTTGGAGTAGCTAGGACTACATGCATGCAGCACCATAACCTACCCTTGATTCTTGACAGATGATTTTGCCGGGTAAATAATTGCATGAAAGTTTTTCATGTACCGCTTGAAAAATATACTGATTCCTTAGACTTCTAGTGTTTTAATTGGTTGGTGTTTTTCTATAAGTAATGTTATGTCTCTGTGTTTCTAACATTATTCCCTTAGTTCTCAAATGATTAGAGTCTATCTTGGTGTATATTTCATTAAGTTTACCATACTTAAAAGTTTGCTTACTTAGCTTCTTTGATTCATAATTGTATGTCTTACATACATTTGGAAGTGTTTATCCATTATCCTTCAGAAAACTTTTTCCCACTCTGTGTTCTTTCTCATTCTAGACTTCTAGTGATAGGAACTCAGATCTTTTGCTAGCTCTTTTCACTTGTATATTTTCTTTTTTATTCAAGTTAATTTTGTAGCTTTTCATTCTAAGGGTGATTTTTGCCTTTTGTTATTTGTATACTTTGTGTCCTTTCAATATATTTTGAATTCTGATTGTTGTGTTTTGTTTCATTTTGTTGGAGACTGGGTTTCACTATGTAGCCCTATCTGACCTGGAACTTGATATGTAGACCAAGCTGGCCTGGAATTCACACAGATCTTCCTGCCTCTGCCTTCTGAGTGTTGACATTAAAGACATGCACCACCATTTAATTGTATTTTTTTATTTGATAATTTCTATTTAATTTTTAAAATAACTATTTTGCTTGGGTTTTCTTTTTTTCTTTTTCATTTCTTTCAAGGGAATTTGTAATTACTTACAAAGAGACTTGACCCTTTTTCTTCTTTTGTGTATGTGTGATTTAGGGTAGGGGAGTGGTGGCCAGAGTATAATGTATTTTTCCCTAGATGCTATTTGAGACTGGTTCTCACTGTCCTGGATCTTCCCAAGTAGGCTAGGCTGGCTTACCAGTGATCCTCAGGGATCCATCTACCTACCTGTCTCTCATCTCCTGAGCACTGGAATTAAACGTGTGTGTGTGCTACCACGCCTTGCTTTAATGTGACTTTTGAGAATTCATCTGATCAAGTTCTCTTTGCAGGTATTTTACTGAGCTGTCTCCCCAGCTCTTGATCTTTTTAAGTCTTAAGTTTTTAAATGTTATACACCAATTAAAGAGACCAGTAGTGCAGAAAAACAGAAAGGAGATTAATGTATACATTAGGAAGACAGATAAAGGGGCCCAGTATCCTCAAGTTGGCCTTGGGAGTGAGCTTTAGTTTAGATAGGAAGAATTGGGGTAGGGTAGGGGAAGAGGTATGCATAATGAAGCAGTCATGCTTCAGATATGGTTTGGTTGCTCTTTGTCTTAGTTATGGTTCTGTAAGGTGGTCACAAGAAGTCCTTATTGCTCAAGGGGACAGGCTATTTCTCAGGAGATGATCCTATTGTAGGTGTAGCCTACTTTTCAGTAACTGCTGATTTTTTAATTAAATGGACCAGTGAGTTTTAAATTATATGAACTAATGACTTTTTATTGGGGGTTATTAACAGAAGTATGGGTGAGGGGTTCCTTACAGGAGCAGGAATGACTTAAAGGCAGCTATATCTCTGAAAGCCCACCCCAGAATAGGTGACAGCTTATGAAAGTTGGAACCCTGGAACTCACTGCATACCATGCAGGTAGCTTGATAGCCAGAGAGTACCTTTTAGGCAGCTTGGTTGGTCTGCATCTCTTCCAGGAAGTTCCACTGTTTTCTTTCTCAACAGTTCTTACTGTTTATGTAACCTTGGGGAAGAAGAGGACTTGTAAATCTGGTCACAGTGTAGGGACTTCTCAAGATTGCCTAGTTGTTTGCTTTCTTTAAAAAAACAAAACATTTTTATTCATTTGAAAATTTCATATGGTGTATTTTGATCACATTTGGACTCCTCCTTATCTCCATTGCCACCCTACCCCCCCAACTTCATGTTATCTATTACAATTTTCCTTGTTTTTTAAAGTTCTCATCTGTGTTCCTCAAATGCTTTTGGAGATGGAAGAAAATTAAACTCCTTCTCTCAGAAGCTATCAACTGCCAGTAGATCCTCAGCTAGGGCTAGGGCTAGGGCTAGGTATTCTTGTCTACCTCCTTCATCTATACTGGGTTTTTGTCTGGCTCATGCTTTCACGGGTTTTGTGCATGCTGTCACAAGTGCTGTGGTTTCCTTGTATTCATCTACCACTTCTGGCTCTTAAAGTCTTTCCAGCCCCTCTTCTGCAATGATCCCTGGGCCTTTGCATGAGAGGGTTGACATAGGTGTCCCATTTTAAAGGAAGAAGCAAAGTATGCAATTAAAGTTTAACTTAGTTTCTTTCAACTGGTAATTTGGTAGCATTTAGTTCCATGGTATTGATGAGGCAGTTGTTTCTGCAGATGCACACTGCAGAGTCTAAGCTAAGCTGACCATGCGCTTCTAACTCATTCTTCTGACTCCATCTCCCATCCTGTAGAACTGCTTGGTTTACAGATGCAAAAGCATCAGCCTTTTTACATGGGTTCACTGGGTGGGGATTGATCTCAGTCAGGCTTGTGCAATAAGCATTCTTACTCATTGAGCATCTGCCTGGCTCTTCATATCTCTTCTTAAAGTTCCTTTAGTTTTTAAATCTTCATAAAATTTCAGTATTGAATTTTTCAGTCATTTTGTGGGCTATTATAGCCAAATAGAAAACAGGTTGATTTGGTGTCACAAACTAGATATACATGAAATCATTTCATGTTTACAGTTATTTTCTTCTTTTCTTTCAGTTCATCCAGAGCAGCTCCCTCCGAGGCCATGGGTTACATTAAAAGAACGAGACCAAGTTCTGCCATCAGGTAGCTTTCTTATCCTTTGACTTTTAAAGGAAATACTTCAAATATCATTTGGGCTTCATGATTAATAGGCTTTCATTTTATCCTCTTTGTGTCTAGATGAGCTTAAAAGTACAAATAGACTTAAGCAAAAGCCACACTGAAATAGGTATGTTGTACAGGTATCTTGTATCTTTCACATTGGTGCACCTCACTGTAGAAAATTATTCCGTGTGAAGCAGCTTTCTAGAAGTCTTAGGTGATTTAAGAAAAATGACTAATAATGAATTTTCTTCTGAAAATTTTTGAATAACTTAGGTATTTTATCTTTCTTGAGAGGTAGACTAATAATATTTAAGTTAACAGTGGAAGTTTCAACAGGATTATTGATTATAGAAATGGTTCAGAATATTTGAGAACTCTAAGGACATAATCCAGCTTGTCTAGAATAGTATTAATGTTTAAAATTTAGACCTTTTGTCTTTGTGCAGACCAATAAGAATTTTAACTTTTTATAAGACTTATTACATTAGACATTTTAGGCTTGGAAATTCCACTTAAAATAAGTTGCGAAGTATTGTTTCTTTAAGTGCCTTTAAATCACACTAGTAAATATTTTCATGGTACTTAATTTCATTTTAAAATTAAGTGAAAATTTTAGCTATTTCAATATAGGTTGGAACAGTCACCGAGTACTGCTATTTTAATGGCCTTTAAAGGATATATCACAGAAATTGTCATGTACATTTTGAGGAATATTAAACTTTTTTATGAGATTTTGGGTTTGTTTTTATTTTCAAGTAAGAGGATTCAGAACAAAGTGTTTCAGTTTTGTGAAATGTGGGGTGTAAACTTCTTCATGTGCCTCTTTGCATTTTATTAATGGTGAGAAATAATTTTAGGTAATACAGTTTTATGTCTTTGTAGGTAAATAATTTTAAAGCTACCACAATGCAGAATCACATAATATCACCATGTTAAAATAGACACTGTTTCAGCATTATCACAAATAATTCTTGTGTTAGCATGATACCTATTGATGATCTAATCTAAATAACAGGAACTCCTAATGTTTTCTGAAATGCCTCAAATTAGATGGATTTATTTCATAATTGATTTTCTCTAGTGTGATTTATATCCTCTCTAAGCTAAAATTATTTCATTGTTTAGATTTTCAGCATGTTAAGTAAAATAAGCTTGATACAGAAAGACAAATGCTGCATGCTTTCTCTTGTAATTGAAATCTATGTTTATAAAAATACATATAACATGAAGGTAGAGGAGGTGGAGCTATTTGGGAAGAGAAAGGGAATCTTCAGGAGAGCAGTTGGAGGGGTTGAAAATGAACAAAAGTACATGATGTAAGAAAAGGTCATAAGCCCATTATTCTGTACAATGAACAAATACTAATCAAAGTTAAAATAGTATAAAAATGAGTTTTAGTGCTGGAGAGATGGCTCAGCAGTTAAGAGTACTGGTTGCTCTTGCAGAAGACCCAGGATCAAATCTCAGTATCCACTTGGTGGCCAACATCCTTCTATAACTCCAGTTCCAGGGAATTCAACTCCCTCTCTGGCATCCCTGGGCACTGCATGACACAGGTGCACTTACATACATGTTGGCTATCACTCTCACATAAAATAAATTTTTAAAATGAACTTTATTTTATTAATTTTTTATTTTTTAAATGTGTATGTGTGTAATGCCTGTGGAGGTCAGAAGACGCTGTCAGATCCCCTGGGACTGGAGTTACTGACAGTTGTTAGCTGCCATGTGGGTGCTGGGATGCAAACCCAGGTCTTCTGCAAGAACAACCAGTGTTCTTAACCGCTGAGCCATCCCTCCAGCCCCAAAGGAGCTTTAAATATTAAAAATAAGTAGCATTTTCTAGTTCTTTAATCCCCTCCTGAACACAAAAGAGCACAATTTCGAAGAAATGTTTTTCTGATACTGCATGGCTGCATTTTTATTAAGAAAAGGAACAGTTGCTGGGTGTGGTGGCACATGCCTTTAATCCCAGCACTTGGGAGGCAGAGGCAGGCTGATCTCTGAGTTCAAGGCCAGCCTGGTCTACTTAGTGAGTTCCAGCTGGGGCTACAGGGAGACCCTGTCTCCAAAAAACAAAACAAACAAACAAAAAAAAGGAACAGCAGAGGTAAATTTTCACTAGTTGGTAAATTCCTAAAGTAATGTATTCTTGGGATTTTTCTGTGTTGAAAAACTAGTAAAGATTTTTCTTAGTATGTATGGGACTACCTGTGTAGACTCTGAGTGCCAAGAGTACTCATGGTATTAAAGAGTGATTTAGAGTCACATAATTATAATGATAAACTACGTAGTAATTAAGCCCGGCTATTGAAAAATGTTCTAGATAGAAATAGAGTATTTGAGAGTTGTGATAATAGCAACTTAGCCAATTTTCATTAATGTTTAAAACCTGTAGATGTTGCATTGATATGGAATTTAGTCTTTATCATAGAAATTACAATTGCTAGACTTTTCTATAAAATCTCACTTTACGGGACTGGAGAGATGGCTCAGTGGTTAAGAGCACTGAGTGCTCTTGCAGAGGACCTGGGTTCGATTCCCAGCACCCGCATGGCGACTACAAAGCATCCTTAACTCTAGTTCCAGGGGAATCAGAAGCCCTCTTCTGACCTCTGTGGCATTGCACGACACGGGTGCACTCACATATATGCAGGCAATAAACTCATACACATAAAATAAAAATAATTTTTTTAATCTCATTTTACAAAGTCTTGGAAAAATATGAACAAAGCCAATCACAATCTGCCTTACTTCTTTTCCTCTTTGAAAGGACATTTCAAATCTGGAGAGGCAGAGTATGGTAAATTCAAGGTATTCACTATAATACAGTGGCTTAGAAATGGTTCTGGGTCATTTCCAAAGTATGTACAGAGAACATAAATAACTCCAACGGAAACTCAACCCTTAGTAACCACCAATCTGATGCTTGCTTAATAACTTTTCCTTCATCTGAAATGTACCTAACTTCAAACATTACTTCTCTTTGAATTCCTCAACTGTGTCTGTTTATTATAATCGACTAATATCCCTTTTGAAAATGTACATGCCGAGAGCCTGATACTCTGACTTAATATGGAACCATATCCTTGGTATCAGTGTTTTTTGTTTGTTTTTCAAGTTCTAGAAAGTGATTCTGATGGGGTACCCATGATGGAGAATTACTGATTCAGAACTTTTCAGACTTTAACATTTGTTAATCGGGATTTTGTTAAACTGCACTTCCTGTTTCACAAATGTTTCATAGAGCCAGAAATTGTGGATTTCTAAGTTTCCAAGGTGATCACTGATGCTGTTAGGCTCCAGAACACTTTTGAGTAGTAAGGACACAAGCTGTCTCCAGACTATTAGTTTGTGTACAGTTTTTAAAAATAATTCAAAGACTTAGCTGGGCATGGTGGCATGTGCCTTTAATCCCAGCACTTGGGAGGCAGAGACAGGTGGATCTCTGTGAATTCAAGGCCAGCCTGGTCTACATAGTGAGTTTTAGGCCAGCTGGGGCTACAGGGAGACCCTGCCTCAAAAAAGACCAAATAATAATAATAATAATAATAATAATAATAATAATAATAATAATTCAAAGACTTTTAAAATGAGAATT